AATTCGTATATTTTTTTTATTTAGTTGGTTGCATATATGAAGAGTTTGACATATGAATCAAAACATGATGGCGGATATCTTTGCAAAGAAAGATGGTACAAGGAAAAAAAATGAAGCATAATTAGAGATTATTTTTTCACTCTGAAATTTATTAGCAACTTAGTTACTTTTGCTAGAGTTTTTAAAATTTTAATTTATGTAAAAAATAATTTAGCTAAATGTATTATATTATCAATGCTAATCATTTGATCCTTTAGTATTCTATTTTCTCTTTGTTATGAAAAAAATAAATATAATTATTTCATTTTAACAATAACAAAATTTATGATGATTAGTTTCACTTTTATTATAACTTATAAAAAGTAATTGAAAAATATATTATTATTTTTATGATGTCATTTTTTGCGTATGTAACAATCTGCTGTCGTTCTTTTTGCTTTGAAATGTATTTATAATTTTTATGTAGTCACCAATTATTATATTTTCTCTGTTCATTTTTTATTTTTTACACCTTATTTTTATTTTTTTATTTTACAAATAAAATCAATATATATATATAAATGAGGACCATAGACAAGGTGATGTGGCACCTCTCTATGGTCTCCATTTGCATTTATTTCCCCCCCCCCCCCTTTTTTTTAAATAAATTAATTATTATATCATAAAAAGAATTACTAAAATTTATTACAAATAAATATTTTATTAATGGAGGATCATTTATAAAAAAACTTCTTCATCTTTTTTATTTATTTATCTCACTTATAATAAAAGGAGAAATATAATTTATTTATTTTTAACTTTTTAAATTTAAATTAATTATTTTATCATAAAAATATATGACTATATTTATACAAATAAATATTTTATTAATGTAAAAACATTTATAATTCTCTATATTTTTCTCTATTTGTTTATCTCCCTTCTAATCATGAAATCATAATAATTTCTTTTTTTATATTTTAAGTATTTTTATTTTTATTTTTTAATTTATTTACTAGGAGTTACTAATCATGACTTGCCCCTCTTTAATTTTTTCTTTTAATAATATTCATAACTTTCATAAGTTTATGATGTCTTATGGTATTCCTTTAGTTTGCCTATAAATTCATATTAGTTTATGAAGATTCACATTCACAAGTATCCTTTCTCTTTTCATCATATAAGTTTGGTTTGTAACAAAAAAAGAAGTATATGAAGGTAAGAAATATTTCATTGCAAATTTTTATTTTTTATTTTCTCTTTTTTTGTCTATATATATTAGTATTTGGTTTGTGAATGAAACTAACATGTAACAAAAAAAATTATATGATGTTAATAAATATATTATTCTCAAGTCCTTATTTTTTTTATTTCCTTTATTTTGTCTACATAGATTCATATTTATTTTCATGAAAATCCACATATAAAGTTATAATTTCTTTTCTTCATCATACTTTTTTGTAAATTAACTAACATGTAACAAAAAAAAGTATATGAAGGTAGGATATATTTCATTCTAAAGTCTTTCTTTTTATTTTATGTACTAAGACATGTTTTCTTAATATATATTTTTTATGTTTGTATTATAACTTATCAAATAAGTATAATTAAAAAAATCTCTGTAATTCTTAACAATGTGTTGTCTGTATGCAATTACTCTTTCTAATAGTTAGTTTTCCAGATATAATATAGTTTGATATAATATTTGTTAGATTTCTAGAATAATTATTATTTAGCATTGTTAGTACTATTGAAAAGATAATATACAAATACATTAAATATAGTTTTATTTCGTTCTTTCTTTTGACATAATTATTTTTTATTGGTATATGATTCAGTTGGTTGCATATAATAAGAGTTCGACATATGGATCAAAATATGATCGGATCTCTTTGCAAAGGAAGATGGTAGAAGGAAAAAAAATGAAGCATAATTAGAGATTATTTTTTCACTTTGAATTGTATTAGCAACTTAGTAACTTTTGTTAGAGTTTTTTAAATTTTGATTTATATAAATAATTTAACTAAATGTATTATTGTCAATGTTAATCATTTGATCCTTTAGTATTCTACTTTCTTTTTGTTATGAAAAAAATTAAAATAATTATTTCATTTTAACAACAACAAAAAAAATTATGATGATTAGTTTCATTTTTATTTTAATTAGAAAAAGTAATTAAAAATAAAATATTATTTTCATGATGTCATTTTTTGTGTATGTAACAATCTGCCACTGTTCTTTTTGTTTCGAAATGCATTTATAATTTTTATGTAATCACCAATTATTATATTTTCTCTGTTCATTTTTTGTATTTTCACCTCTTATTTTTATTTATTTATTTTACAAACAAAATCAATATATAATTAGTAATACATTTATTGTCAAATAAAATTATACATTTGAATTATTTATAACTTATGTCTCTTCATCTTGCTTGTAACATTTGATATTAAATATTATTCATAACTTTTGTATGTTTTATTTTTTCGTAAGTCTTATAAATATTTAATTAATGTTTAAAAAATTATAATAAGCAAATGTAATAATAAAATTAAAAAAAATCAATTTTGTTTTGACGAAATCAGAGTTTGAACAGAACATTAGTATTGCTACAAAAGATAGAACATTAGTACTCTTACAAAAGATATAGAAAATTAAAACATATAAAATATTTTCAATCGAATACAATATATTGTTGTTTCAACATATTATCTCTTATTCCATTTATTTCACCATGATGAATATTTTGTTCTAATATATATATATATATATAATAAATAAATATATTTTATATTAGTTTTAAAAAAGTCTAT